TAGTGGACCATAAGTCCAAAGCCTCTCTTTTAAAAACAGTCTCTGAGAGAAGTGAGCACTCACCATTGTTTCGTAAGTGCATGCTAAGGAGATCTATTGTTTAATACATGCATAGTTGTAACCAAAGAGGAACTCCAATGTCTAGCTAATAAAGTGCCACTGTAAAAATGTGAAAGGTAAGATATTATAGAATGTTTAAACAGTTCATTGGGCAACATAAATAAAAGTACACACTCTGTTGTGTTTTTAGCAGTAACATGGACCAATACTGTCTGAACTTGGGCCAGCTCCATCTTATATGTAGCATTGAACCTTTCAGTAAGTGACAGAGGGTACCTATCTTTAAAGAAATGGTTTTCTCATAAAGAGCAAGTGAATGAAACTATTACCCATAAACTGACTCTCAATGGAGTAGCAAAATGGAACATAGGCACTCCGTTTAAGAGCTGTTGAAACATCTAATAAAGAAGATATTATTGTGTGGATGGTAGGGAAATGACGTATAGTGGGGCACAAGCATTTGGGTAACCATATAAAGTACAGGATGGGACATCCACTTGGGAGGTTCAAGATAAAAATGGGAAGGTATAGTGCTGCTTACAACAGCTGCCTTATGTTACAAAAATACAAAGAAAAAAAAAATCTTCCTTACATGTTTCAACCATCCAGATTTTCAATTCAATACACTTTGTATATTTTTTTTTAAATTGAAATATCTCCAAGTGCACATATTGATAGATACAGTATATAACCAAAAGATAATTTGCTAGTGTTGCAAACATAATTAGAAAAAAATTGCACAAAGGTGTGAGTGCAATATTTTTCTTTATATTTTGCCTCTGCTGGGGTTTGCCAGCATGTCTGGCCAATATTTCATACATTTTTATGCATTATAAAATTTGGATTCAGGAGTTGATGGTTGGGGCAGTGTCTTTTAACCAATTTCTACAAACTGCAGTTAGGGCAGCAATGAGTATGGGGTATGTGGTTGAATATTTCATTGTTCTTTTGATATTCATAGGGAAAAGTTGGAACAGACAAATTTCAGGGACCTGGGGTAGGTTTATATCCATGCAATCAAGTATTATTTTGGCTATTTTTTTCCTTATAATATGTTTGAGCACGTTCGCCAGTTATGTATCAAGGAGCTAAGTGGGGAAATAAGTGAACCTTTGTATTTCATTTTTCAAGATTCTTTTGTTTCAGGTATTGTACTGGAGGATTAGAGGAAGGCAGATGTTGTTCCTATATTTAAAAAGGGTTCAAAATCCTTGCCTGGAAATTATAGACCTGTGAGCTTAATTTCTGTGACTGGGAAAATATTTGAAGAGCTATTAAGGGATAATATTCAGGAATCCATTGGGAAGAACTTTGTTATTAGCAATAATCAGCATGGTTTTATGAAACATAGGTGATGTCAAACTAACCTAATTGCATTCTATGAAAAAGTAAGTAGAAGTATAGATTAGGGTGTTGCAGTGGATGTGATCTACTTGGATTTTGCCAAGGCATTTGACACGATTCCTCATAATAGGTTAGTCTTAAAACATAAAGAAATTGGTCTAGATGAATATTCTTGTTCTTGGGTAGAACATTGGCTTAAGGATAGGGTATAACGAGTTGTCATTAATGGTAAATTTTCAGGCTGGACAAAAGTGGTAATTGGTGTCCCTCATGGTTCTGTTTTGGGACCGCTTCTATTTAACATATTTATAAATGATCTTGAAATAGACATTGAAAGCCATGTATCAGTGTTTGCAGATGACACAAAACTTTGTAAAGTACTAAAATATGAGCAGGATATTGCTTTGCTGCAGAGAGATTTGGATAGTTTGGGGGATTTGGTACTAAAATGGCAGATGAAATTTAACGTAGAGAAATGCAAAGTTATGTACTTCAGGTGAAGAATCCACAAGCAACTTACACACTAAATGGTAGTGAATTAGGGATAACCATACACGAGAAGGATTTGGGAATTGTTATAGACAACAAATTAGGCAGCAATATGCAATGTCAATCTGCAGTTGCTAAGGCCAGTAAGGTTTTGTCATGTATAAATAGGGGCATACATTCTTGGGATGAAAATATAATTTTGCCTCTTTATAAATCGCTGGTAAGACCACACCTTGAATATACTGTGCAATTTTGGGCACCTGTTCTAAAGAAGGATATCATAGCACTAGAAAAAGTGCAGAGACAATCTACAAAATTGATAAAGGAATGGAGCATTTTAGTTACAAAAAAAGGTAAAAAAATTTAAATCTCTTTAGTTTGGAAAAACGGCGCCTCAGAAGAGATTATACATTAACATTATACAAATATATTCGGGGCCAGTACAAACCATTATCTGGAAATAAACAGGGCTATACATAGGACACGAGGTCACACATTTAGACTGGAAGAAAGGAGATTTCATCTAAGGCAAAGAAAATATTTTTTTACAGTGAGAGCAATAAGGATATGAAATTCTCTGTCTGAAGAGGTGGTTTTATCAGAGTCCATACAGATGTTTAAACTGCAATTGGATAACTACCTCAAAAACATAACATACAGGGATATAATTTCTAATTAGTGGGGTAATAGCTGCTTGATCCAAGGAGACATCTGACTGCTATTTTGGGGTCAAGAAGGAAGTTTGTTGCAAAATTAGAAGCTCTTCAGATTAGGTTTTTTCCTTATTTTGGATCAACAGCAAAAACATATGTGAGGAAGGCTGAACTTGATGGACGCAAGTCTCTTTTCAGCTCTGTAAGTATGTAACTATGTAACATATTGTTTCAATGTCCGTCATATGTTGTGCATGTACACCTGTCAAAGTTTTTACGTAATGTTTTTGTAGCTAGGATTTCAGTTACATATAAGAGAATGTGGCTACCTTAAAGACACCATAGATGTCTTGTAGGGATTTGAAGTGCAGAATAGTGTTTCCTTGAATTAGTTGGTGTATTGGTGTAAGACCAGATCTTTGCCATGGGTTATTGTTGAAGTCTGGGAAGAGTGATGTTAGCACTTCTATGTGCTATGCAGGTGAGATTTGTTCAACTTACATTTGTGTCTGTAAGTGTCCCAAATGCAGAGTGTAAGGACTGTTTTTGGGGACAAAGGGAGAAAAAAAAAGTTGATTTATAGGAACTATTGGTGAGAGAATATGAGGGACTTTCTACCTAGGAAGAAATAATTGTAAAAGGGGGGGGGGTTATTTGATTGATTAATAAACCAGCACGTAACACGTATTTAAATTAAGTACTTAGAATTAATGTTTGGAATGCACTTTATATGGTTTAGAGTTTATTACACAAAAAGAAGGAAAAAAAAGTCTATTATGGGAAATATTGGTGAGAGAGTGTATGAGGAATTTTACGCAAGAAAAGTTAAAAAAGGGAGAAGTGGTTTTTTTTATGTATTTTTTTTTGTTTTTGTTTTTTTCATTTGTGTTTCTCTGGAAGAGGTAGATTGGGAAGAAACATTGAATGCATTAGACTCCACCTATTACCCCGATCCTCTCAGCAAGAAAACTTTCTTTAGCCCAGAAATAAATATAGGCTAGGATTCTGTCTATTTAGACATTGTCTTAAGACAAACCAAAACAAATATATGGGATGCGGCTGTACAAATCTAAAAAGGGAACATAAACAAAATATAGTGCGATACAGTAGATACAATCAATTATGCGCCACACATAAGTGCACTCACAAGATAGCGATGAATATAGCGCTCATAAGGTGCCTTCCCCGAGGTTGTTGGGGGGCTATTCGTCCCACTCTCCACTTAAAAATTGGCAGATGTAATACAGGACTCCAGTGGATGAAGGTAAAAAAAAATCAGCGGTTTTATTTAGTTAAAAAGTGAACAATCGGTCCTATGTGTTTTATTCCAAATGGAAGTTCCTCAGGGACCAAAATGACATAAAATTGATCACAATGATAATAACATATCCTTATTTCCCCCATTCAAAAGTCCCTTTAAATAGGGCTAAATAGGGCTAAACCCTATGCGTTTTCATCCTTCCATGATTCCATTGGTGTTCTTGAGGTGTCTCCACAGGTGTCTGTAATCCACGCGTCTCCATCCTAGTTAAAGTTGGCTCATCTGTGTATCACCTGAACCGGAAGTGTATTCGATCCTATACTTCCGTGTTCCAAATGCGTTCCAGCTAATCAGTATACTACCCTCTGGTGGACACCCACTCTGTTACATTGTATATAAATGGGCGGAATAAATCATAACATTAAGTATCTGCTGAAAAGAGAAACATTAGTATTGCTAACCCAGTTTTAATAGCCATATTTACTGTGAATACCACACCCACATAGGGTGAAATTCATAGTTCATGCTTGTGTATATTCTTTTGTGCATGATATTTAATTTTACACAGTCAAGTGAAATAATAATCAATAATATTTTAAGGTGACACGTGCAGAGGAACAAGGAACCAAAAAGAGACTATGATACATTATATAATTATATTATATCCCCTAAAATAAAGAATCCTCCATATTCATTGGAGTAGCACACACACCTATATCTAAAACAATGACTGTTGGTACATAAGATGATAGAAAACTACTACCCTGTTCCAAAGATATTATTATGGCATTATATATACAAATTATTCCATGGTATAAAGACTAATTGGAATAGTTCAACCACATTGATCACCCCTAGTGGATGTATATATATATATATCCTTCCAAATGGAAGTGTAAAGAGTGAAAAATGAGAAAGAAGAAGACATGAGTAGTGAGGACAACAGAAACATACTCATTTAGCTAAATATAATAAATCCCTTAATCCAGAAAACAAACCAGATCTATGTCAATATTTAAACCCCTAGGTTCCAATGTTTGGAGTCTATGTATCCAAAATGTCTCCCTTTGAGCTAATTTTTTAACTCTACCACCTCCATGCCAGAAAGGAAGAACTCTCTCTATACCCAGACATTTGAACTTTTTAAATGAAAAAAAAGGACAAGTAATACAATGGACCGAAACTGAATGGGTAATAAGTCCCTTTCTGATGTTATTTAGATGTTCCAATAATCTAACTTTAGATTATTGGAACATCTAAATAACATCAGAAAGGGACTTATTACCCATTCAGTTTTGGCCCAGTTTCGGCCCATTAACTTTAGATTATTGGAACATCTATTCTTGTGAGTGCACTTATGTATGGTGCATAATTGATTTTATCTACTGTATGGAACATAAACAAACATATTTTGTTTATGTTCCATTTTTAGATTTGTCCAGCTGCATCCCTTATATTTGTGTTGGTTTTCCTTATATTGTTAAAAAGTCACCTCTTGGGTTGCGATCTTGGGAGGCTGTTTCTTGACTCTAAGCTAAGTATTATTTATGCTTAACATTCACTACTTCTTGACACCGTGGTGATATATTGTTTGCATTGTCTTAAGACAGTAAGGATGTCTATTAAGACATTGTCTGTGTATGTGAATGTCTTGTCCCTGTTGTGTGAGGCGTTGGCAGGGGGGACTTTGGCGGGCTCTGTATAAATGACATTAAAATTATTTTCAATTACACAGGGTCTCAATGAACCTCAAAAGAGAGGCTATTTATATGACTCTATAAAAAATCCAATTTATGCTTGTGCAGGAGACCCATTAGAAGATTGGTGGAGCACACCAATGGCGTTTTAGCAGATTTCCTAGGGGTTTCTCCTCTGGAAAAGAGGAGTCGCAATTATCCTCGCAGAAGGGTTAATATTTTAGCTGATTGTAGAATTAAAAGATCCTGAAGGAAGATATTTGATATTGGTATGTAATATAAATGACATCTGCTACACCCTTGTTAATATTTATTCTCCAAACGTATACTCTCAAAAATATTTTCTAAAATAGATCAGGTCAAAAAAGGAATCCTGTTGATTGCTGGGTACATGAATATGGTACCAGATATAAAAGCAGATAAAACATCCAAATATTGCATGAAGGAGTCCGGAAGGGGGAGTAAGAGGAATAGTATTTCCTTCCAGGAACTCCTGTATGAATCCAGCCTATTTGACATCTGGAGGGCACAACACCCTAACGATTGCGATTTTACTGTTTTTTGTAAATTAACAAATCTTATTCAAGAATGTATCAATTTTTAACTAAAAGCTGCAACCAAGACGAATTTCGGAAATCAAAAATTTATATAATCACCTGGTCTGATCATGCCCAAATACTTGTACAGATAGTGGTAAATAGGCCAAGGGAGGGCAGTACTTATAAGTTCGGATGAAACCCAGAAGTATCTGTTAAGACAGGCTGAAGAACTCTTTTTGAATAATGACAATAATGAGGTTAGTGGAGGCACACTATAGTGTGCCTTCAAAAGCTTTATGCAAGGTATTCTGATTAAGTTGGGGGTCCAACGCAAGAAATCCAGTGGGAAAGATTTAAATGATTTGTATATTGTTTTAGCTAAATTGGAGCAGGAAAATAGAAACATGGTTACAGATCTGAGATCAGCTCAAATCAGGTAGACCCAATTGGAAATAAGAAATAATTTAGAAATCCAACAACGCCATAATAAAACTGAGCCAACGTTGGTACCATGGGGATAATAGTTAGCAATAATTTTTTGGACAATCTTAAGTTTAAAAAAAGAAGCCAAATAATTAGGAAGATAATTGAGGGAGACAAAGTTAATACCTCTCCATGAGATATAGATAAAGCTTTTGCATCATATTACAGGGCTCTATATAATCTCCCATTGGAACGGGCAACCTCAGAAGCAAGCTGCGAGTTTCTAAAAAATTAAAATGACCAAGATTCGGTGAGGATGACTTGAAGAAATTGAGTTCTTCTCTGACCCTGGTGAGATGTATAAATCTATTAAAGACCTTAAGGAGGGAAAATCCTCATGACCGGATTGTTACCCAGCTTGTTTCTATAAAATAATGTAGCCTACCATAGCTCCAATCTTACTAAAAGCATTTGGAGAAATAGATAAGGGTTGCCCATTCCCATTGGAGATGCTACAAGCCTGTATAACCCCGATTCCTAAACCAGACAAAGATCATAATTTCATCAGTAACTATCGCCCCATATCCATGTTGAATACCGATATTAAAATATTTTCCAAGATCCTGGTGGAGAGATTAAAGGATTTCATTCCCAAATTAGTTAATCCTGATCAAACAGACTTTGTTAAGGACTGTGAGGGAGGCGATAACTTTCACAAACTGTTACATCTGATCCGAATCTGCAAGTTACACGCTATAATAACTATCTCTATAAGGAGATAGACGGTGTTACTTCACAGTGCCTGAAGGATAGAAGTAGTTTAACACTAAAAGTGGAATACCCTTTATCCACAATAAAATATAAATATACAGATGGTGAGGTATAGATATTATACCCAACAAGTGGAGCGCTATGAACAATGTAGGGATACACTCACCCCTTTGGTACAATGACAGTCCGAAATATTGATGCTTGGATGTACATTTAAAAGGAAAACAGAAAAAAACAAAAAAATATAGTGCAGACAGTTCCCAAATATAAACAAGTGATGGTAATGAATGACTGAAACCACTCACATGGATGGGAGCCTATGTAAAATTGGCTCCGTAAAGTATATTCGAAGCTTGGGCTTGTCACCAGTGGGGTACCTCAGGGATCTGTACTTGGACCCATTCTCTTTAATATTTTTATTAGTGATATTGCAGAAGGTCTTGATGGTAAGGTATGTCTTTTTGCTGATGATACTAAGATATGTAATAGGGTTGATGTTCCAGGAGGGATAAGCCAAATGGCAAATGATTTAGGTAAACTAGAAAAATGGTCAGAATTGTGGCAACTGACATCTAATGTGGATAAGTGCAAGATAATGCATCTTGGACGTAAAAACCCAAGGGCAGAGTACAGAATATTTGATAGAGTCCTAACCTCAACATCTGAGGAAAGGGATTTAGGGGTGATTATTTCTGATGACTTAAAGGTAGGCAGACAATGTAATAGAGCAGCAGGAAATGCTAGCAGAATGATTGGTTGTATAGGGAGAAGTATTAGCAGTAGAAAGAGGGAAGTGCTCATGCCATTGTACAGAACACTGGTGAGACCTCACTTGGAGTATTGTACGCAGTACTGGAGACCGTATCTTCAGAAGGATAGTGATACTTTAGAGAGAGTTCAGAGAAGGGCTACTAAACTGGTTCATGGATTGCAGGATAAAACTTACCAGGAAAGATTAAAGGATCTTAACATGTATAGCTTGGAGGAAAGACGAGGGGGGATATGATAGAAACATTTAAATACATAAAGGGAATCAACACAATAAAGGAGGAGACCATATTTAAAAGAAGAAAAACTACCACAACAAGAGGACATAGTCTTAAATTATAGATACAAAGGTTTAAAAATAATATCAGGAAGTATTACTTTACTGAGAGGATAGTGGATGCATGGAATAGCCTTCCAGCTGAAGTGGTAGAGGTTAATACAGTGAAGGAGTTTAAGCATGTGTGGGATATACATAAGGCTATCTTAGATATAAGAGACTAATTATTAAAAAGTATTTTAGAAAATTGGGCAGACTAGATGGGTCGAATGGTTCTTATCTGCCATCACATTCTATGTTTCTATTATTTTCATTCTGAGTAAGGATGTGATCTGACAGATTAACTATTTGTGTAATTATTGAGTGTATTTTATGTGGAGTAGAGTAAGGAGTAATCATGTTCATTAGGATGGAACTTTCTCCATGTATCATAGATCACATTACATTGATGGTTAAGTGCCTGGTGAGAAGTGTCAGGGATTGTGGTATCTGTGCATGAATTTAGACCATAATTTACATCTCCACATATAATTAGAGATTCCTTTTGGGTTGGGGATAGTTTTGTAAGGATCATGTGGAGGAAGTTCCTTTTGGTGTTCATTAGATAATGAACTGTGAACTAGAATAATATGTAAATTGTATGTCATTTTGCTTCTTCCAATAGCATATGTCTTTTATGTGTATAAATTGTCATGTTTTTTTTATATTGGTTTGTATATTGGTTTGTATTTGCTATCAATGTCAAACACTTGGTGTTGTTCCAATATGCTCTTGGTTGTAGCCTAAAGTAGTAATTTGTATAATTTGAATAAAAACAAAATAAAGCATATACATTCCAACCCCTAGTGGTTTAATGGTGCAGGATTTCAGTACTTTGGAGGATAGGAGTTTTTAACATTCTCCTATTTAGTGACCATTGAGCTCCAAAATCAAAGTAGGATAACAGAACTATAACCATGGTACTCAGCTTGTTATTGATAATAACTTGTGTGTTGCCTAAGTTAATGTTCCATAAGACTATTTTGCAGGTAAATGATAGAGGCAATGTGGTTTAATAATAGCCTTTTAGAAATAAGTTTGCCATAGAACTTGATGTCAAGTATATAGGGATGGTCCCCATGCATTTGCCCTTGGGAATTCATACAAACTCCGCTCATGGGGGTTGAGTTGCATCAATGGGGAGGAAGTTCATTCTTACTTAGGAGTCTTGGTAGGAATAAACTTCCGGGTATTTGATTAAAATTTATTATAGTAAGGACTCTTTTTTTTATCATTTTGGTAATATTCACATAGAGCGTAGAATTATAGTGTAAGTAGACACGTAAACTGATGTATAACTGATAATGTAAAGCGACACATATAGGCTATCATGTAGATAGGCAGACACCTTAGATACAACTGAGTTTTGATTGTGCCTAACCTAATCGTGACAGTGGAGATATAGTAAGCATCGAGTTACAACCGTGAAAAGGTTTCTTAGAGCGTTTTACATATAGAATCTTAAGTGCACTAACAGTTCAAACTTGGAGCAATTCATTTAGAACAAATAATACTTGCAAAAAGAAGCAGGTATTGCTACCCAAGCATGGAAAGATGTTTGGTTGTCTTTCAGTCACCAAGTTGCCTTTCAGTCACCAATCTTGCGGAATTCTTTGGGGTGTAGACGTCTTCAGGCTCTGTGTTGTTGAAATACCCCATTTGCGAAACGTGCAATATAAGGCCATGATTCCTCATTCATGAAAAGCAAGCCCCACCTTTGTTTTATTTTGTGGGATTGTAGGGCCTCTATGATGGGTTGAAAAGTTTT